ATGACTTGGCCGATGCCGCTTGACATTGGCAGACATCTTTTGCCAATACAAGTACGTACGAAATCCGCTGCGTGCAGGTCATGACCGATGTCATTTTCTATTGCCCAATGCAACGATCGATGTCTCCCAATCAGTTCACACACATAATGTTTGATGTATTCATGCCTTGGGTGATGTCGCTATACATTAGACGATGCAAGAATACCACGAATGATGCCGCTCAATGATGCTCACACGCCAAGAATAATGCTTGATGGCCTTGGGCGATGACATAGGGTTGTTGTCGATGCGTGTAGGCCATTAATAATGTCACCCAACCAATGCGCACACGCCAAAATCATGCACGACTTGGATAAATCTTATGCCATTGGAAGATGTCATTTGCCACATACACACATGCCACATCTGATGCTTGCAGGCCATGACTTGTGACACTTAGCTAATGTCCACACACAAAATTTGATGCATACTTTGGCAGATGTTGCTTGACATTGGAAGGCGTCATTTTTCATACACACACATACATTGCCCGATGCGTGCACACCTTGACCTTTGTCTTCTTCTATTTGACAATGCGCACATGCCATGAATGATGTCATCTAGCTGAGGTACACATGCCACAACACATACTTCCAGCGGTTGGCAGATGTTGTATGACATGTCTGATGCATCTAATCCACGAATAATGTCGCCCAGCTGATGCGACCACGCCATTCCAGGATTTTGCTAATGTTAATGCCATTGGAATATGCTAAGGCAGATGCTTGCTGATAATGACCAATGATACCTAGTTGATGTGCACACACGATATTTAATGCATGCATGCCTTGTAGATGTTTCATAAAGTTTGTAGGCGTTGTTTTCCATATACCCACATGATACGCCGGATGCGTGCAAGCAAGGACCGATGTCATCTACTTTTGCTAATGTGAGCAAGCCATAAATGATGTCTCCCAATCGATGCACACACACAACGTTTGATGTATTCATGCCTTGGTAGATGTTACCGGACATTGGTAGGCATTGTTTCCATACATGCACATGCTCCGCCCGATGCATGGAAGATATGGCAGTTGTCTTCTTCTATTGGATGATTAGCATAAGCAAGGACTGATGTCACTCTGCCGATGTGCACACGCCACAACTAATGCTACCATGCTTTGGCCAACATCACAACACATTGGATGAAGCCTGTAAGCCATGAAATATGTAAATCAGCCTATGCGTACATGCCATACGTTAAGCCCGCATGCCTTGGTTGATGTTGATGCCATTGCAAGACATCATTTGTAACTTGCACAGATGCGATGTCCGATGCGTGAAGATAATGACCAATGACGCTTAGCAGATATGCACACACCATGTTTGATTCATGCTTGCCTTGGGAGAATTTGCCTTATATATGAAGGCGTCATTTTATATTAAACACATGTTATGCCCGATGAGTGAAGGCCATGACCGATGTCTTATGATGATGGCTGATGTACGCAAGCCTTGAATGATGTCACTCAGTCAATGCGCACACACCTGTTTGATACGTGCATGCCTTGGACGATGTGGCTAAATGTTGGTAGATGTTGTTATCCCTATCCACACATCTGATGCAAGTAGTCCATGACTGATAATGGTTTACGTTGTCAACGCGAGCATGCTATGATTTATGCCATCAAGTTGATTAGCACATGCAACATATAATGTGTGCAGGCCTACACCGATATAGCCTGTCATTTTGCACACACCACTTTTGATGCTTGCAGGCCTTGGCTAATGTCGCCTGACACTGAAAGATGTCATTTTTAAGAAGTGCACATGCCACATCCGATACGGGTAGGACATGACCAATGTAACCCACCCAATGGGCACACACAATGTTTGATAAGTGCAGGTCTTGGCTAATGTCTCTTGACATCTACAAATGTCATTTTTCATATGTGCACATGTTACTTTATTGCGTGCAGGCCATGACCATTGTCGTCTATCGTTGCCCAATGCACGCAAGCCATGACTGATGTTGCTCCGTTTATGCACACACACCACGTTCAATGCGTGCGGGCCTTCGAGGATGTCGTCTAATGTTGGTGGACTTCATTTTCTGATTGCGCATGTCCAATGCATGCAGGCTAGGAATGATGTTGTCCTTTGTTTGCCGATGCGGATGTTTGACTCCCATATGTTAAAGCTTATGCGTGGCCCACATGGAGTTCTTGATTTCCTTGCACCAATTCTTAATTAGAGAACTAGGCATCATTTTTCCTATGGATCATAATGAATATGTAAAACACAAATATGTACGTTCTACGGTACAAACACGCATTTGCTTTTTTTATCATAAATAACTTAATATATATAAAAATATTGTTTTCAAGAATTTTGTTTAAATTTTTTTTGGCCAGATCAAGAATATGAGTAATTAATTAATAGAAATATAATTAATATGATAAAATATATAACTAATGCTAAAAATTCACAAATAAATAGAGAAACCTTAAATACAACAATTTAAACAATTTTTTGTAATTTTTTTAAGCAAATATCGAGAACGAGTAATTTATGTATATAAAAAAAATATGATAAAAATATAAAATTAACACACAAAATTCACAAATAATATGTTAAATTCACCAATTTCAAAACTTTTTTTGAAATTTTCTTTTTTTGTCTATTCCTGAAAATGAGTACTTAATTAATTAAAATAAGGAAAAATATGATAAAAATATAAAATTTATTCTGAAAATTCACATATAATATAGTAACCTTAGATTTAACAATTTCAACAATTCTTCAAATAAATATTTTTCTTCGAAAAATTCCAAAAAAGAGAGTAATTAATTATAAAAATTAGAAATATTATGAAAAATATATGAAATTAACGCCAAATAATCACAAGTATATAGAGTAACCCTAATTTCCTTCATTTCAACAATGTAGTCAAAAAACGTCTAACATCCCCAAGCTGATGTATACAGGCCACGAACGATGTGGTTAGACGACGTTTAAAATTTCCAGATCTATGTATGTATGTTAAATACAATGCGGGCAGCCCTCATTTGGCATCACCAAATCGATGTATGTTTGTCATGTTCGATGTCTGTTAACGTTGTGTGTTGGTCAAAGTCCACACAGGCAGGCCATCTGCGATGTCGCTGACACTTTTGTGCAGGCCAAGGTCGATGGGGGAAGGCCACGCCAAATGTTGTCTTAATAATGTTTGTAGACAATGCCGAAACACGACTATGTAATTTGCACAATGCGGGCAGTCCACGGTCGACATTGGTTGAGCAAGGTGCATAGGACACGACTGATGAGGGTACTTCACGACCACTGCCTCATGGGTAATCATGCGTTAGGGTGGCCGACGTTGACATTCCATGTAAGATGCATGTAAAATTTAGTTTATAATGAATAGAAGACAACAATTTTCATGCAGCCGATGCATTCTTTACAAATCATATGCATGCAGGCCTTTGATAATGTTGTCTGTCGTTGGCCGACGTTGCGTGACTGATGCGTTTAGGCCACGACCAATGTCGCCAACTCCATGTACTCATGCCACTACCAATGTCACTTATCCGATGCGCACACTCCACGTTAGATGTGTGCTTGCCTTTCCGATGTCATCTGGCATTAATCGATTATCGCATGCCATCACAGATGTTTCCCTACCAATGCACACACATCATGGGTGATGCTTCCATGCCTTGGTTGTTGCTGATTCCACAGGCAGATGTCATTCTCCATATGAGCACATGCTATGTCTAATGTGTGTTTGGCATGACCAATGTCCCCTATCAAAGACTCACACACCACATTTGATGAATGCATATCTTTGCTGATTCCGCCATACATTGGCAGATATCATTTGCCAATGCAAGAAGAAGCAATATACAATGCATGCATACCATGACCGATGTCATATGCCTTTGGAATATGCGTTCATGACAAAACAAATGTCCCCTAATCAATGCACACACACAATGTTTGAAGTGTGTATGCGTTTGACGATTTCACTTGACAGTGGTCGATGCAAGGAGGCCACTATCATAATTTCCCAATCGATGCCCACACGCCACTACTAATGCGAGCAGGCCTTGAATGGTATCATATTACGTTGGTCAATGCATGTACACCGCAAATTATTTCTCATAGGTGATGCGCACATGCCACGTGTGAAGCTTGCAGGCCTTGGCTTATGCTTATGCCATTGGAAGATGTCATTTGCCACTTGCGCACATGCTACTTCCAACGCTTGCAGGCCATGACCTATGACACCTAGGTTATGTGCACACACCTTGAGGTATCATTTTTTTCAGCTTCATGTCTTTTAGGCTTACGACATGAAATTATTTTTGTTGTTGACTTTGTGGCATTTCATGAGTTACCTTCGGATGTGTTGGTTTATCAGTTTAGCATATTCTTTCTCGTAGATGATCTTATCTTACCTATTCTCTTTTATATTTTTGCCCTGGTCTTGTTAGTTTCATCCTTCTTCTTATTTATATTTGAAACTTTTTTTTTTATCTAGGTAGGCCTTTTATACCTATTGGGTTCCCCATGTTTCGTACTCATACTGTAATTTTTTCTATGTATCTCACAAATTGAGAAACCCTCTATAGTAAGTTGGATCTCTCTCGTTGTCCCAAACATGGATCGTTACTGATGTCCTATTTTTGTACTAACTTTCACTTACTATATTGGATTATTTATATCTTTGTATGTATTTTTATGGCTTTCTATTCGTAGTAGCTCATGTATAGGGGACACAAGGTCCATGGATTGATATCTTTTTTATGTTTATATCTTGGTAACTTTTAGGTCTATTTTGTATCATAGTACAGACATATATATATGATATTGCCTTGGTTTACATATATCTTATTCTCATTTATCACATTATTTAGTTATGTGTTGTATTATTTTTTTTTTCAGCGTTATTCTTGGGTAAGCCTTGTCCACTATGCGGGTTGTAGTGGGTGACATCATAGGTCGACTTCAAGTTGTGATAGTGGTAAAAAAAGTAAATCACATAGAATACTACAAAACAAGTAAAACCAAAACTAGTTAGGGTACTACCTTTAGAACAATAGTTAACAACCATTAATAACGATTTCAAAAAAGAAAACCAAGAATAACTAGGTAGTTGCCCTCATTTAAAATCTATCTCCATGAATTTAATCTTCATGCTCAATCTAAATTAAAAAAGAAGAAGTTGTAATCTACTTCGAGGCCGACCGCGCACTGCAAATCACATGGCTGGAGATTTTTCCTTTCGAACAACCTCTGAACGTTGCTACAGTATCAAGAGTATGATCACAAGTTCAATACGGTCGTTTAGACACCAATATCACAAAAATATACGGACCAATTTTTAGAGTCAAACAAGAAACATGGGATCTGTGCAAAAAATTCAAGAATTGACTTCGTCAAAAGGTTTTATAACAATTAAAATTAAGAAAATTTATTACTCAAATTTGAAACCCTTCCAAATTCTTCATAATCAATGTGTTTGATCATTTGTCACCTTACCAATTCATGCCTTGATAAAACACACTATTACAAACCAAAACTCACCATGAAAAACTTGAATTTTCATTCAACTGTGTAACTCAATCTCTTTATCCATCACCAATAGCTCACACCTTAAATATTTTTATGAATTAACGTATCTTAGATTATCATTTAATGCCTCTCCATCTATCCTATCATATCTTTCGCTAAAAACTCAATAATTCCTTTTACCAACTCAAAATCATGAAAAAAAACTTATCATCACACTTGAGTTGAACGTTTATACACTCATTTGTCAAATTTTATTCAATAGTTTTTTAACCAATCTAATGGACTTGGGACACTATCACCGTAAACATAGCAAATAAGATGGAATCATGTGTCCCTGAATTAAATTTCGAACCTCTAAAGATACATATTTTGTCCTTGCAACCAAAGAAACTGTCATTGTTCTCAATCGCCTATTTTCAAATACTAAGCTACATTACACTACAATACAATTTCGTTTAACCAACAATTCTTATTATATAGTTAAATCTCAATCACAATCTATCACGAACACTTATTACAATCATTCTCAGTTATCTCTTATCATCACCATAAAGTCAACCTTTTCATCAATATGCCACCATAAACCTAGTTATACCAATCAAATCCAAAGGACTAATCCAATTATATATGTAGTTTTTACTAAAATTATTAATTCCCTTCACATTATTATATTCTTTGGACTTTATTTACCCATAAGCTTTTCCATATAGTATCTATACATTAACATGGACCTTATTATGAAATCATTGGCCTCATTTAGAACCTTCAGGATACGTTTCTCAGCTTTAACACATCAATACTATACCAAAGATCCACCACTAAAAGCTTCCTTATAAATAATGCTTACACCATCTATCCGTACTAACAATGTAATACAATAGTTAACTCTTTAAGTATTTACTCTTTGCACAGACCAATCACCGTATCCATTTTTAAATACCACTAGTTCCACATCATGAAATTATGTTACATCCACCACTATAACACATCTTACTTATCGAGAAGATCATATCCAAATAGGTCTCACATTTCTACCCATAAAATAGTTGCAAAGTAAAACAAAAATTAGTTTCTTATCTGGCCCAAACTATGTGTATTCTTTCGTAGGTCAGGTCAAATATCAATAAGTAACACACTTCATAACTCTAACCAAGTAAGCATTGATATCATTGTAGTAGAAATTCTTACCTTAATTTACACATCATTATTCTCATCATTTCCTCAGAAACCCATTCATGTTATGATAACTTTACTAATTGCAGTTTCCAAAGTTACATTGCTATTATCTAGCCATCCTTTTAATGATTTCACTTTTCAATTGTTAAACCGTTATATTTATTGTATATACCATACAAGTAATATTTATTTCACTAGGATAACTAAACTTATTCAATCACTTCAAATATTATATCAAATTCATTTCATAAATATACAACTTCCACCTTAATACCGATCTAAATTCAAATTAATACATGACACATCAAGTAATTAAATGAGGAAGTACGCACGAGTCATCACATAATGAGAGAATAAGTAGAATGAAGAGGTAAGAATTGAAACAAACAAAGGATGCACGATAGAGATTCAAAAAGTGAATATTTTTCTTACAAGTCACCATAGGCTCTGAAGATAAGTACAGACGTCTCTGTACCAATTCTTGAGACTCTACTTAGACTCCTTTTGTAGAAATGTGGGACCTACGAACCAAGGGCTCTGATACCATGTTGTCGTGACCAACAAATGGACTTGTAACACTCGTCTTATCTCACAAAGACAAGTCAGCAAAAAATTCGACCATTACAGTAAAATGCGGAAGTTTCATAATTTACTCAAAAATATCTCCCAAAATTTTGTGTTCACGTGTACAAGGATCTAATGTTTTAACAATTGATTCAAAGAAATTATAAGTCATACGACATTATTTCTAGAGTAGAAAAAAACGTAAACAGGAGTAAGAAGGTCTACATAGATAACAAACAGTTACCTCACAAATCTCCAAGAATTCTCGTATATCACAAAGGTCTAGGCTAGTAATCTACAAAAAGATTGTAGAAGCAGGGGGTGAGTATCAAACCACACGGTACTCAACAACCAAACATGTAAACACAAGTTAAGGGGACGAAATACGGGTACTCCTACAACCCCAAAAAAACCTTCATAACGTATAAAAAAAGAACACCCTAACAACTCACAGTTTACATAGCACATAGATCAACAACACTTTGACAATTTACATATCCTCAAAAACAACAACAAATTACATATCCTTAATAACAACACTTCAACAAATTATATATCCTCTACAACAACACTTTAACAAATGACATATCCTCAACAACTAGTTAAGCATTCATCAATCACATGTTCCGCAGAAAGGCGTTTACAATATCAAGTTCACTAATGATAAGTATGTATAATGCAATGGAATGCAATATAAAGTATAATCATGCATTTCTGACCTAATGATACACACCCACTATTTTTCGGTTTCATGAGGGACATATCTGTCCATGCATCTGTCGCGGAAAGACACGACCCTCGATAAGAGTAACCATCGTGACACACAATATGTCCCTTGAAATATAGTATTCATCACACCGCGCGATACGCCCCTCGAAATGGTACATCCTCTTTAAGTTTTCATTCTTTCTCAATGCACATAAAACTTTTGACAACCATGTTTCAAAATAATGCAAATGACATCGCAAAAATAAAGAGGATATTACCATTTCATATTATTGACCAATTCACGAGAACATAACAATGATTCAACAAGTCTTTCAAACCATTCTTCATTATCAACACATCCCATACAATTCATTATTCACATTGCCTTTTATTACCCTTTGTTTTCATCATTAGAAATAATCAATGTGGACAAGTCAACCCATCACTAAGTCTCATTACTCCAAAACATATACCACAAAGAAATACACGCATTCCATACACTTAACTAGGGTTTAGAAATTTACTTGCCTCAAGTAGTCGAACAATGACTCCAGAATTCAAGCCTTCTCTTTTCGTTGAGCTTCCAAACCAATGCAATCTATCCAAATATTTAATCAGGATAAGATTTCGAAACTAACAACACCTATATTACTATTCGTTTAGCCTATAATTAAAAACATACACACTTCTAAAATCAATTTCTTAAATTTTGATGTCAATTGACATGTAAACTCTCACGTTTTTTTAAAAATTTCGAATCTAGGATCAAGTTCAAATTTTCATAAGTATCATCAATTTAACGGTATAAAGAAAAGAATTTCAAAAAAATTAATAACTTTCAAATAATCTGTCGGTCCACCAACTAGAGGAATCCAATCTAATTCTTGTTTTTCCTTTCAAACCTATATACCATAATGGTAATCATTATTCAATAATGACAATTGATATAACCTATCACTGGCAGAAACTTGATGCCCCAATCTTTTTCCATAACTTCCATCCCATAATTTCCACTTAAATCACCCAACAATATATAATTGCTAGTAAAAAAATCTAGCTCAAAATCTCAATCACTTTAACCATTAACTTAACAATCAATTGGTAATGACTATATAATGATTATTCCAGAAACAAAATAATCAAAGTCTACCCAGTGTAGTTATATATATGATCAACGAGCATATACATTCCAATCCAAAATTTGCTTATTCTCCTTTCTCAATCTACCAATAATAATAATAATAATTTATTACATTTTGACCTCTAAGCATAGCATATTCACCAAAACACAAATTAATGCAGGATTTGAACTTACCTCGATGAAAGATAAGCGGTTCCCATGCCGAGCATCGTTTCCCAGGTAATTTCTTTTCCTTTCTTTTCTTTGTACTAAAACAATAAACCCTAGACACTTATTTTATTATATGGATAAAATTGTATAGGGTATTTGATAAATTATTATATTGACTCATTAACCGTCATATAAATAAATAAATTATTAAAGATATATACACCAATTAAATAATTGTAGTTATTGAATAATTTAAAATTTTTGAATCGATTTCACCGACAATTAAAAAATTATTCAGGGCAATTATGAAGAGGGGTAAAACGCTAATTTTTTTTTAAAATATCATAAATGATCTTTCGGGTCATTACAACTTCTATAGTCATTATGTAAAAATAATTATGCATATATCTTGACTAGTTTACTAGATATCTATCGCATTCCATCGTCAACAACAAATGTTGGATATTTTTATTAATTAATGTCAAGTTGGGTGGAAAGAAAACACGTAGAATTGTTTTTATTTGAATTTAAGCGCTCATAATTCTCTCATTCTTAATTAGTCACTAAATCACACCTGTAAATGTTTAGTTTTACTCTCATCTACATAAATTATCCTTTTAATTATGTCTTTGATACATACGTGAATTGACTTATATACTAAGAATATATAATTTCTCTCTTTCAATACATTGACCATTCAGGTATATTTCAAAAGTTTTAACATATAAAGGTATTAAAAATAACTTCAAAGAGTATAAAAAAGGAAAAAAATAAGAAAAGACAACAAGATAAAAGAGTTGAAAGAAAATGAGTGTCAACTTGTGTACAACAGTAAAATTGTAGGATTATATATAGATATTGAGATGCTTGGAGACAAAGGTAATTAGATCACTTTAAAATTCTATCTAGGTCAATATGAGCTTTGTTAGTTAGTCTGGGCCAATTCTATCTTTGATTCGATAGTTTAATTAAGATATTTATTAAATAATTACTATAATACACAACTTGAGTTTTTAATAATCGCACATATATGTCTATTTAATAATTTATATAGCTTTCACAATTACGAACTTAACAAAATATTTAATTTTGTAATTTAATGTATTATTCGCTTTCTGATTTTTCTCTTTCCTTCCTTATACGAATTCGTGCTTAAATCTATGGATATTCATTTGATTCGACACGCTACTTGCCTTTAATAAATAAATAATTTTAATTTTTTCTTATGAGATGCAATCTAAGTAAGGTAAAGTAAAAACTTTTACTCTTTCCATAATTATTCCTTAACTAGTGTGCTTTTCCGCACTGCCGGCCGATTTAAATATATATATATATTATATTAAAAAAGAATAGATATTTTCATTAAATATTTTGATAAAATATTGTATAACAAAAAAAAACAATCCAAACCTAGTTACGGTCTTAACCTTGTTGGTTAAAAAAATAGTTCAATATATTTTCATATTATATTTTTTTCTTAACATTGTTGATTACAAAGAACATAAAATGGTAATCTCAAAATTTTTAGTATATCGTTATTACTTACTAAATTCAGTGAATTTTTAACAATAAGATTAGTTCAACCAAAGTAATGTTAAATTTAATTCATAATAAATTACATGACATTGTGTATGCATAAATCAATTGATTCGTAGTTCAAATAATTTAAAATATATTTGTGATGAATAAAAATAAAAGAAAATACTTGAATTATGTTTCAACAAAGGTATACATTACGAAATAAATATCTCAAGTAAAATAAATTAAGTTATTTATATTATATTATATCGAAGATCATACTTTACAATAGAAAATTAAAGAATTGTAAAACTTAACATAAAAAATAAACTGTAAATTTACAAGAAATCAAAATGTCATTAGTAATTTGATGTGTTACTTATATTTTCGATTATATATAGATTATCATAGAGTAACAAAATATTGAATTTTCAAGAATACAAAGTGTCAAATTGTAATAATGTATACAAAGAGTTAAATCAATATTTGCCCCAAAAACATGTGTAGCAGTGAAAAAGTTTTATAAGGTTAAGTTAATTAGTATTGTAGTCATCACTTAAAAAAAATTAATGTATGATAATTATATAACAATCTTAAAGATAACTCCTTCTTAAATATGGAAAATTTAAATTAATGTATGATAATCATATAAGCATTCAAAAGATAACTCCCTCTTAAATATCAAAAAATTATGATAAATTATATTTGTTTTAAATGATTATAAGTTAAATGCATTTTATTATAACAAAACTTTTAAAAAAATAAATATAAATGTACATCTTATTTATAATATCATAAGGAAAAGTAATATGCTAGAATTAAATGAGAGAATCTGAAGTTTCTTTTGTTTAACAAAAATACTATGATAAACAAGAAAAAATGATTTTACTTTTGAGATTTTACAATATGATATTGGAAATTTTATCTTCATTCTTTTGATTAAATAATTTTTTTATTATCAAAAAAATATAGCAAAAATTGAATTAATACTTATCTCTTACACGTGTTCAGCAGTGATAGTATTTAATAACGTTAAACTAATTAGTACTGTAGTCATCAATAAAAAAAATTAATTTATGATGATAATATAACTTTTTAAAATATAAAACCTTCTTAATGTGGAAAATTTAAGATATATTATTTTTGTTTTAAATCATTATAAGTTAAATACATATTAATCACACATGCACATTTATTATAAAGTAAATAAACATTTTATGTGTTTGATCATATTACTAGATATGTTATTAGTTAAATTAAAAGAGGGACTCTAATCGATATGTTATTGGTTGAATTAAATGACGGATTCTAATGTTTTTTTTACAATAATTAAGAGAAATTAAAGAACCGTGTTTTTTTATGTTTTAGTATAATTATTGTGATAAAGAGGAAATAATTATTTGATTTTTGAGCTTTAATAATATGAAACTCAAAATCTTTTCTACATTCTTTTGATGAAATAATTTATTTAACAATAAAAGTTTAAAAAAATACTAAAAACACAAATTAAGTATTTTAGGAAAGTTTTTTTAATATGATAAATCATATCATACATTTTTAAGGCAAACAATTAGTAATAGCTATGAACAATACCTCATGAGTAGTATTATATCATTTAAGTTCCACCCATAAAAGGAATTCAAAATATTAATTAAAAATTAATAAACATATATACACAAAAATACAATCGTATAACTTTCTTGGGGCATTTCTTTTCTCGATAATTGAAAGAGGCAACGGTGTGAAAGTTCCTTACTCTAAAAATAGACTCTTT